GTGCCCGCTGTCCCCTCCCGTGCTCCCTCCCGAGCAGCGCTGACCCTGGCGCTGCCGCGGCTCCGCTCCCCAGGCGCTTCGTCTCTTCAGCACCACGGCCAGCGCTGCGCCCCCGTCCGCACCTTGGCCCTGCCGCTCCCGCCGCGCCCCGGGGGAGCGCCGCTGCTCCTCGTATAGCGCGGTGCGGGGAAAGGCCGTGGCCTTCGTGCAGCCAGTCTCGCTCCCGGGCAAACCGGGCACAGCCGCAATAATGCTGCTGTAATGCTATAAACAGATAACAAACGTTACAAAGGTATATTTACCTCTATATCCAAATTTACTCACACAGCTTATTTTAGATCATGTTAGGAATCCATTAGTGACTGCTTTCTCTGAAACATTTAATATTTTTCATCTTTTTTTTTGTTCTCTGTTTTCATGCCTCTGAGTAGGCCACTGTAGCACTCAACCTTGATTTGTGGTATTTACAGCACTGGAATGAACTGAGCATACTCTGAAGAAAATTATTTTTCCTTTCAGAATCTAATAAGAATAAACTTTTATATCTTTGAAGAAAATTGAAGATGCAAAAATCGGTATTTCTTTCTAAGTCATAACGATTATATTTCTCTTAGATTTAATCTTAATATTTCTGCAATGTGCTACTAAAAAAAATTATAGCTTGTGTTTTAACCAAGTCATTCTAATATTATTAAGCTCTTTCACTTGCCCAGTTGGTAACCTAATGCAAACCGTATTTTCAGAGGAAGATTCCCTGATGAAAACATATGTTGTAGTTGCAATATCCTAAAAGCAACTGCTCTCTGGATTTATTGAAATATTTCTTTCAGATGTTGCCCTCTGCTGGAGGGTTAATGAAGTTTTACAGCACCAATGTACATTTATACAAGACCAATTATTTTAATATTGAAATTCCCATAATGACTGATCCATGTAGAATTTCAATATTTCCTTTCAAAATTGTACAAGAACTACAAAGTACTAGAGTAGAAAATAAATTATAAATAAACCATATGTAATTGAAATGTTGCTAATTAGCATCATAACACAGCCCTGATTTCTACCTCATGATAGCTATTGGATGTGGTTTGCAGCATTGTCACTACCATTAAAATCCTGAAAGAATTTTTCCCAGAAGAGGAAAAGCTGCACAGTTACATAAGCATGTCTTCCCAGTGTATCATGGCTCCACTGTGCCATTGCAGATGCTCAAAGGAAACCTATATTAATAGTTTTTTCTGAGAGCCTGCAAGAACAGAATATTGTTTTTCAGGGATGCATTAATAGGATTGAATTCTGTAATTCAAGCCTTTCAGAAAGGTACTGAGTCGTTTTCTGAGCTGGAATCTGAGGAATTTGAGGCTGTAAAGCCTGCAGGGCAAGGGTGCTTTGTTTATTTTTGCTGTGCAAGGAGCTCTGGCCCTTTTTTTTAGAAAGCTCAGCACTGGCATGGCTATGATGTTATGGCTACTTAGTAGCAGCAATAATTACTAGCAAAATAATAGTATCTAATAAATAAATGACGATTGATTTGGGAAAGATAAATAATTTACCATATCACACCAAAATGGAGAAGAAAAGTCCAGATTCCTGGTTGTTTCCCTTAGTAGAGGAGAAATACATAGTCCTTAATTGCATAAAATATGCAAAATAGCAAGCTAACCTGATACAGTAAAGTCCTATAGTGATTAGGGTCTGCTGCTGTAGCTATCTGAAATAGAAATTTTATGTCTATCAGATGATAAATTCAGATGCTACTGAGTCACGTCCTGAACAAGATCAGGTGATTTAAAAATAGTAAATATTTAAATTCTATTTTTGACCTTATTCTTGCTGTTGTCTCACTGCAAAATGAATTTTCTCTTTCTCAAGTGTCATATGAGTAGAATTTATAAGTGAACATATATTTTATGATCCATTTTGAAAAATAAAAATATATGTATTACTTTAACTTCATATGATCATGCATACAAAGACATTTTATTATTCCTGTTAACTGAAAAGTGACAGAATACTGCTCTCAATAACACAGTGTCATCTTCAGGAAAAAAAATTATGTGTTTAAAATCTTAGTTATGCCATTAAACTGCTGTGTGTAATACAGACTTCTGGTACTGAGGATAGCATAAACATACTTCAAAAATTATGAAGTATGATCTAATTACTACTTCTTTTTATGGTAGATGTCCACTAAATCAAATGGAATTTGATTCACCTGAAAAACAAAGCAATTTTCTACCTTCTTTGGGACTATGGAACTGCAAAATCATACAGCAATGCCAAAATAATCATCATGCTTGCCAGGCCACCAGAAAGAAGGTTTTCTGAAAGAAGCTTTGTAAACCCTTTTTTAGTCAACCATTTATTGAAAAAAATTCAATCATTAAAAGAAGATATTGAAATAAGATCTTGTGCCAAACCTTGACTTAAGAGGCAGAAAAATGTGATGAAAAGATTGTTTTAAAGCAGGAATTTTCTCATTCTCCATGAACATTTGCAAAGATCACTTCCTGAACAAGTTTGGTGGGCTTTTGTCTTACTCTCCAGAGTCATGATGATTCACTGTTGCCGCTGAAGATGAATAGATCACACGGACACAGGTCAAGTTGTGGTGAAAGGAAGAGAGAGTTTATTTTTCCTCCCAGGATTTATAGGCTTCTGACCACGGCCAGGGATTGGATGGTCAGGATAATACTTTCTCACTGCACTGGCCATGAGAGATGTCCATCACAAGACGTGTAGCAGAAGGAATGTATACCTATCTCTATGTTTACAGTTACTGTCCTGGGAAAGTCTTAGAAAACTATGTCAGCAAACTCAGAAGCTGAGTTTTCAGGGCGACAATTCACTGCTGGACAAGTCCCTTGAAAAACTGCCCAATACATCTCTTTGAGGATTTAGATGTAGTGTCCATGCACTGACATATTAAAGATGTGTCTATGTTGGATTTTGCATGCCAAGCTGTAAAGATTCCTGAATCCAAGTTAAAACTATGTGAAGTCTGATTGACAACACATTTTAGATAATTTCGCCTTTTGGAGGCCTATCCATCAATGTCTAAACCTGTATTTTATGGAATGGGCTGTGCCTATAGCTCTAGACCTAGGTTATGAGCACAATGTGGTTATTATGTCCTGTTGAGAAGTGTATTACACAATGGTGTCAAAAGGAATAGCTGTAATGTGATGCAATACTCATGGAACTTCTTCCTGCTTTCTCAAAATCTGTGATGTTTACATCTTGAGTGGTACTTTAATTTTCTGAACTGCAGGCCAGATTGGTGATTTATGTCATACAACAAACATGGCAGAAGTTGAAGTGTTGGGTCAAATCTTGGCTCTGTATTTCCACAACAACACAATTATCCTTCTTATTTTGTGTCCGAAACAGAACATGCTTGGACTGAAATATGCTAAAGAATGATGTGTCTGGGCAGAAGTTACACATTCACATGGTCCCTCTCAACCAGATTGTGCATTTTGGAAATAGGAATCCAGAACTTTGGGCCACTATCACAGGGACAAATAGAAAAATCTACCAGGAAGCTGGCCACAGAGGCAATATAAAAGCGGCTGTGGACTCTGTCAAGCAAAGTTGAGTAGCTTTTCCACTGCTTCAGCTAAGTTTTATATATGTCAGTTTAGTGCTTGCAAATAGGGCTACTCTTTCAGATGCCCTCATTCAGTTGCTAGAATGTTATTGCATTGCTTTGCCAGTAGTCTAAAATGCAAAAGAAATGAAACATGATAGAGCACAGGAGTTGAACACTCATATTTTGGGGCAGTTTCTGGTTTTAAACCAAACTAGAGATAATTTGCTCAGGGATCTCTGCACTAACATAGATGATGAAATATTCTAAAGATATGCTACAAAACTCCAGGGTTTTGGTTTTTTGTCAGTTTGCTTTTTTGTTTAGGAATATCTTGTTTCTAAGCATGTAAATTCTTAGTGTTCCTTCTAATAGCACCTAATATCAGATAATCCAGTTCATGTTGAAGTTCTTCCTTCAGCCCTCCAGTGGTAAAAGGACTAGATAAATAATTGGAATTGCAGTCAAATTTTATGTTCTATTGGTATAGCAGATCTCACCATAAAAAAAAAAAAAAAAGAAATACTAGATTATTTGTAGTTACTATATAGGACTACTCCATGGCTGGAAATTTTTCTGTTATGTTACAAAAAGACTTATTTATTTCCTCCATCCTCCCTTTCCTGTCTAAAATTTAATTAATTTTTAGTACTAGCAGATAGATTGTTCAAAAAAAAACCCCAACAAATTAATAAAAATCCACCCAATGGCAAATGCCTTTTAAAATATGAAAGCAACTATATTAATTTTATTCTTTTTTTTCTGGTATATCTGTGGAAAAATTTAACAGCATTGAATACATTTATCTTAAAAGTAAATGGAGATGCTTATATCCTTCCCACATGTTACAGGAACATCTGTTCCTTTGAATTCCAGTACTGTTCCATGAGTTACATGCGAAGGATCCCAAAGGACTGGAAGCCATCTGTCATGTTACACGGACAGAAATGCACCTACCTCTGGGGCTCAGACACAGTAACAATTCTCTCAGTATCCAAGACAACTATGCAACACTTGGTGAGTGGGATGCAATTATCCATAACAAAATTTAGCCAAAGGTTTGTGATTGCAGCACATTTTCCTATATTTTATTACTATGATGATTAATGATTAATATTTTTAATCTGTCATTACATTATTATTCCAGGATGACCATCACTGGATTTTTTTAACAGCTTAGAAGAGTGTTTTATGCAAGAGTCAGTTTGGTATTAGTGACAGTCAGGTCTCTTTTCACTGCCTGAGAAACCTTGTGAGAAATGTAGAAATTGGAGACTGTATTGTGGTGACCATCTATTGCAAGAATTAGAAAATCAGAAGCAGATTTTATAAGGCTGCAGTAGACCTTTATTTTCTGTTGACTTGTCTACATTATTTTAAAATGTATTAAAAAAAGTTCGGGGATGAATTTCCATTGATTCAGATCACAAGTTGCACTGATCTGAACAGGGCTTAAATCTACTATATGCTTAAATTTACTATATGCTTTCATTTGCTAGAAGAACACTTAAAGACATATCAAAAGTAACATAATTTGATCAGGAAACTATTCCTGGTGGGGGAAAACAACCCAAGAAAACACATAATAGATATTTGGAAAACAATTGTGCCTAGTACAACAGCAAACTGACATCTGAGTTGGTAGGGCAGGTTCTGGAATACTGTGTTGGGTCTGAGACTGATACTACAACCTAAATTTGTCACTCAGTTTTAATGTGCCTCAGTTTTTTGGGATTATTCTTCTTTAGGATAAATATTGTTTTTTCAAACAATAAAAAAAGACTAAACCAGTACAAAATACAGTAAATGATGTTTAGGAAGGATGTATGTAGGAAGAATGTATAAAGTTGTTTCATTAAGGAGAAAGATAGATATAACTGTAATTAGAATCTATATCCACAAATATAATCTACTAGTGGACACTTGCATATTTTCATGTGCTAAGCCATAATTTTTCTCTGTAGAAGGATATTGAGACAATGAGTAGAGTTCATTGTAGCAAAAAGTACATAAGGAGAAGTATGTGTTTAGTTGTTTGGGGTTAGCCAAGTCCATAGAAAGTAATTGTCATGCTTTCCCAGAAAGAAATCTGAGGGACACTTTCATTCATCCCATATTTTCTTCTTTGGTTTCATTTCTTGACAAGCTGACAACCATCACACAAATTCAAGACTGAATAATTCATTTATTCTCTTGAATTTTCTTGGAATTAGCATAAAAGCATTGTCTCCAATATGGATCCAAACAAGAAGAATATGAAACCTGTGCAGGTTTCTTATGTCATACATTTGCATCTGCATCAGATAACACTAATCCAAGTTAACAATGCTAGCATGTCTTCAAATGACCAATATTTTAATAAAAATATTTTATTCAATAATATATAATCATTGTATTCATAATATAAAATTAAATACTGTTTGTTCTGTGAGTACAGAAACAGAATCATAGATTCATTAAGGCTGGAAAAGACCTCTAAGGTAATTGAGCCCAGCCGTCAATGAGTTCACCTGACTCTCTGAGGCTTCCTGTCCTCAGTAATCCTGGTATTCTACTGCCCTTTCCTTATATCAGGCCCTGGTCAGGATCTATGAGAACTCAGGTCCCCCCCGCATATTCTTCAGTGCTTTCCCATCAGCATACTTAGTTTCTGTCATGTCATTAACATGCCTTATCTTTCTTCCTTATTGTGCCTCTTTTATTTCCTTTACAACACTACCCTTGGTAAATGATTTTCTTTAAAGTTGTAGGGAAATCATAATTCTGGCACATTTATGTTTCTGCCAAATGTGATCAAAATGGGTTCAAAAGTGATTATGGAAGGAAATGAACACACTCACAAAAAAGAAGTGTAAATCTCATTTTGTTATAAAATAGGACTCAACCCATCAGTGTTAGATGCTGTTGGTTGTGTTGATCTCATGTTTCATTAATAGCAAAAACTATCTTTGATATTGTTGTATCTTTTGAGGGACAATGTGTGTGCCTTCTCTAAACCACAAGAGAACTTGCCACTTTTATGAATACTTCAGAAGTACTAGATGTCTTCTTAGGAGAACATGGCCATGGGTTTGAAGGTAGAAAATTCCAAGTGTTCTTGTTCTTACAAAGGAAAATCAAAGACTGTAAACGATTTTAAGGGAATCAAAAGACAAAAATGCTATTCTTGCTGATATATGGAATACATAAGATGTTCTTTCTCCCTCAGAAATATTAGAGCAGCACATAAATTGACAGGAGAATATCTGCTTTATTTTCAGGCACTGCTAATGACCTCAGTGGTGGTTGCATTGTGTTCCACAGAGGAGGCAGGAAGATTAGGATGTCATATAGAAAGATTACTTCAGGCTGAAGTACTCAACCTATCTATTTAAAAATACACGTGATCTCTAAATGCAACTAAAAATATCAAGTTCTTGATTCAGACACCTTTTCTAAATGTCAGCATTGAGCTCAGATTTCGTACGCATTTCATTTTATAATCTGGTGTTTAAGTGTAAATATTTTACATCTATCTTTTGTATTGTTTGTTACAAATAAATCATCACAGATATGATAGATCAACTAACTGATTCCCCTGGAGGGAGTCTGTTGATTTTTGTGTGACTCAGTCTCTGTGTGACCAGTTCTGATGTCTTTAGCTATTCTAGTGTTTCCTCTATGGGGGAGGTGAATTTTGATTACTCATTTAGTGGCCTATTAGCAAGACTTGGAAGTTGAAACAGTTTATAAGACTTGTGTTGAACCTTCTTTCCTTACCAGGCTCAGGGTTTCCTTGTCTGTCTCTTAAGCTGGTGTTTTCATCCTGAAAGCCAAGACAAGCATTTCTGTCTTTTGGTTTTCTTTCCAACGGCCCTCATCTAAATAGTTGACATCTGCTGGGCCTTTACCATGGACTATTACTGAATTACATCTGATTATTACAACTCATTCTGTATTTGAGTCACTTTCTGACTCCTCTTGGAGCAAAGATTTGCTGGTTGCTTCCCTTTTCTACCCAAAGGGCACTCTTTTACGGACAATTCTTCACTGGCTTTTTTTTTTTTTCCAGAGCTGGAGAAGTGATCAGTATACACTAGTGCTATCCCTGTGTGCTGTGAGAAGTGATCAGTATTACCATTAGTGCCGTCTCTGTATGCTGTAGTGTATGATCTAGGGATCCCACTCTGTTTGCCAAAGCCAAATACTAAAGTGCAGAAAGAAAGCTCTTATAAGACAATGCTATTTATTCTGTTTTAGTGGTACAGAAACTTCTCAATCTATTAGAAAAATAACAGCTGGAAGGAGGAAAGAGACAAGTGCCAAAGTCTCCTTTTACTGTATTCCTACCTTGTAGAGCAGGAGGCATATCTCTTAATAATATTCAGAAAGGAATTCAAGATTGGCCAATGTGTGTGGAAATAATTGAAATGTGCCCATGGCATTCTGCCAGCTGAGAAAGATTCCATATAATTTTCACATCCTCTGTGCTCTCCTTTCAGAAGTCATGGCAGTTTCTCAAAAAATTGTCTTACCATTTGTTTCTTCTGAAGCCCTGTTGAGGTATTTCTTAGACATTAAGCCCGCTTTATCCATGAAAAATGTCCATCATACAACAGCCAAGCAAAATCAAGACTGAGAGATGAATAAATATGTGAGAAAATGGAGGTTGCAAGCACAGTTTTTTGCTGTTTGCCAGATGTCCAGAGCTCACACCCTGGAAGTTGAAGCCAGGTAATTAATGTCTGCAACACCTAAGTTGTTAAATTTAATTGTTTTCTTGTTTTCTCACTTAATATTTTCCTGTGTTTCCACACTGTATGTCTTACTTTATGCATAATTCCAGTAAAATCACTGTTGCTATTTCCAGAACAAAGAACCTATATTTTGTTACAGTGATCTGAATGTTTTTTTGTACACATCATTTTTTTTGTCCTTATCATGATAGACTGACTTTTCAGTACTAGTTTTCCCTAGTTTTGTTTTGTTTTTATGTGTCTAGCAATTGGTCTGAGACTACCAATTCAACCACAATTTACACCTACCATGATGTCATATATTCCCTTTTTCTTTGTGGATGTGTTCTGGCTTCTGAAGTGCTGAACACATCAGAAGCATTACAAAGGCTAGATTTAGTGCCTTTACAACAATTGGTTTCATATTTTTTGGCTTTTGGCTAGGAATAATCATATAATAATCAAAGCTCTGAAAATATCCTCAAACTGAATGGCTGGAAAGTAAGTAGTCCCTAAAAATACATTCTGTCAGTCATGTCCTCTTCACTTGCAAATTATTTTTTACTAGGGGGCCCCACTGGCTTATGAAAACACCTTTCCCTGGAGGAATTTTATCTTAAATAGAAATGTCCACTGAATCCATGCATTATATCAGTCTCATGTTACTGAGTCACTCTTGGTGCATTGAGATGGACTTCTGCTTTCACAGAAAAATTTCCTTGGCAGGTTGTCCATTTCTTTTCATGTATGACAAGAATATTAATCACTCTCAAATTAGTGTGTGCTCTGTCATCAGGACACATCATAAATCATTGAGAGGTACTTTGGCAGCTGGTTAACATTACACCTAAGTGCTTCACCCAGCACATGCTTTCCCTATCTACGTGAGCATCTTTCCTTCACTCAGGTCTTGTACTTTGTGTAGTGTTCTCCAAAAGGCTTCATAAATCGATTGCTTATCTTTCAAAAGCTTCCCTGTACTCTCCAACACTTCTAATAGATTTCAAAACGATACTCATTAATCCTTCTTCACTGAAAGTATGGGTGACCAGTCACAAAACCTGAGGGACATGAAAAATATGACCAGTGAGGGAAAGAGGGAGGAGGATCCTCCCTTAAATCTGTTTGAGGCACAGAGGTGGTCAGATAGTATAACAAACCAGCCCAAGTTTCTCTTAGTGAACCCAATATCAAGGAATATAACTTTAAATACAACAGGACTTTTTCATGAGTGCCAGCATTTTGGCAAGAAATCTCACAAATTATTCATGTTCTTGAATTCCTTTCTCATACCACATACCACAGGCAGCCTGAGAGCAGACCCTCACTAAACTTTTTTGAGGGGGCTGAAGGCAATTTCTGTTTCACATATATATTACTGCTTTTTCAAAATGCTCCATGCTTCATCTACCCCATTTCCCTGCAGTAGGATAACAAGCAGTTTACAGATCCCTGCATTTGAAGGAATGTCCCTTTCTCAGCACAAGTGGGATGCCAGATGTACACGTCAGTTGTATCATTTTCTTCTCTGTGCTTTTTCTTATTATATTCTTTCTTATTTCACAAAAGGTTATGGGACATAAATAGGACAATATAATGCTCAAAATTAAAGTAATTCTTAACAGTTGATAATATTGCTAAACATTGGGCTCCAATTCTAATACCCTTAATAAATACTTGACCAAAATGTAACTCCATTTTTTTTGTTAGTAGCTGCTTTTGTGTTAGTAGACAAATCAGGTTCAGAAATTCTTTGTGCATCAGGAGGGAAGACTGAGCAAACTAAGCATGAGCAGTAACTTTTTCTTCTTGATAGTATTCAAATACCTGATACTTCTCAGGATTTTTATTTATTAATTAGTCTAATTCTCCAGATAATATGAGTAGGTTCTATTCTATTCTATTCTATTCTATTCTATTCTATTCTATTCTATTCTATTCTATTCTATTCTATTCTATGCTATGCTATGCTATGCTATGCTATGCTATGCTATGCTATGCTATGCTATTCATTATGACTGTGTTCACAATATAATCTGTCTGATGCTATGGTTACACAAAAACTCACACATACAAGTAAGTATCTGACGTGCAACTTGAGTATGGTACCTGGTAACTCAGTCTTGCAGAACAAGATGAAAGACTGAGAACTGCAAGAAGTAGTAAACTTTTTGCCTTTGAAGATAACAAAAAAGAATTAAAACTTCCATTCTTAATATTTTAAAATATTCCCCAGACATATTTAATAACCATTTAGAATTTTTCCATTATTTAAAGCTTTTTCAGTTAAAAATATGTTGATACAAATGTTTGTTTTTAATGAAAAATTCTACTTTAGGAAAGTTTTGTTAACAACCAGGAAATAAAACTAAGGGAACGATTTCATTTGCAAAAATGGTGGGTCAAAATGTCTAACTCTTTCACTGGGATCTTTAATATTGCTGGGGATGTATTAAAGCTATAAAATAAAGAAATAAATCTTAACAGAGAATAATTTTTAAAAAATTCTGAAAGCATAATTTTTTGTCAAACTTTTAGTTTTGCTGCCAGCTTTGTTCATTTCTTACCTTATTTCATTTGAAAGAACAGAATATTCAGGGTTGGAAGTTGACTACTGCAGTCTTGAAACTATTTTCCATTATTCTTGTAGCTGCCCAAAAGGAGTCCCGAGTATATATCAGTATGTCTCCTACATGTATGATAATATCCTGCCTTAAGAAGATGATGTGGCCTTGCTATGGATTTTGTAACATGATGGAATAGTTGTTGTTTTAGATGTTGTTACAGAATGTTGTTAAATAGATGTTCCATTATTGGAAGAGATGAGTCAAGGTAGGGGTTGTCCTACCTGGGGAGACAAATCATCACCCATCACTGTCTAACAGCCTCAAGGTGTATCAGGCCCAGATAGTGATTCACAATTGCCACTTGTGACAAAACAGGTGTTACTGGAGTAAAAAATACAGTGCTCTTGCAAAGAACATCTCAAAAGACACAGTGGAGCTGGCTGCAACGGCAATCATAAAGGAAAGGTTTCAGCTAAGACCAGGCTGCAAGAGAAAATCCTGCTCTGCATTCCAGCATTTCCCCTGAAGGGAGGAGGGAAGGAAGAAATCTAAATAAAGATGTTCAGTCAGCCCCATAGATGGAATGAAGAAAAAGTCCCTGGAAGGAGTGTCCTGTGAACAGTGTCCATGATGCCACCTGCACTTCCACCAAAATCTGCCTGTTTTTCATCCAAATGCAGAACCATAATGTTGCCACTTTGACAGATGTTTCCTCTCTGCTTTACACTTAACATGAACATCTTGTGATTGTCTGCACCATTATTGCCCATTCTGACAACAGATTTATGGTGGGACTGTCTTTATTAATTTAGATGTTTGACATTTCACTGACAAATCACTGCGGTCTGATCAAAGAAAAAAATCAACAGAGAAATACCTATCCACTGCTTTGGGTTGGCCCTTTCAGTCAGCCCTTTCAGCTTCACCTCCAGGCCAAGCTGCTGTTCCAGCATGCTTTAAAATGTGACATAGAGCATAATGTCCAAAGACAATGTTCTGATATCATTCTTTTCATGCTAAACAGTATCAATGCTTTGTCAGGTTAGAGCCTTAATTGTAAAGTTTCAGAATGACTGTGAATTTTGTGCATTTCTGTGCCAAATATGCACCAAATAATTGGCATGTACTGCAGAATGAAGAAGCTCCCCAATGTAGCCTTGTCGGAAGTTGTATTTTTTCTCATAACAGAAACTGAAGTTCCCTTGCTTAGCATTTGCCCCATCCCCATCAGATACCTGAAGTCTATGGAAAAGCCTTGCTCCTGTGACTGTCTTTGTGCCCAGGAATGAGCTCAGTCCCTGCAATGACAGATATGTGACAATCAAGGATGAATGGTGTGTGCACAGGAGAGAGGGGGGCTGCTCTGTGCAGCTGTGAGGTGTCTCGTTACTCTGAGTATACATTTGAAGCAGAGTTTGTCCAGCATTGAAAATGAAGCAAACACTCCAAAGGATTTCTTTGCAGTTAATTTCTTCCAGCTGCAAAAGCAAAGAAAATCCTGCTTTTCCATTCTCAACTTAATCAATGTCTTGGATGCCCCCTTTCAGTTCCTAACTACTAATACTGGGTCCCCTCTCCTAGGCTGGGGAGACCTGCTGACAGACTAACATTTACAATTAAATGTTTCTTCTACATACCTCAATATTAAAAATTTCTCTACTAGTTAGGGCTTCAAGCCCATCTGATGCCTCAGCTTTTCTGTCTTCTCCAGTTCATAAGACCTCACACTTATATTTATTCACCTTCCTCGTTCTGAAGATAAAGTAATTAATAAAGACTTCATAGTTCCTTTCTATTTTCAGTTCCCTCCTCATGTTCAGCACATAACCCCAGCACTCTGAATTTATAGCAAAAGTATGAAGCAGGCTCTTTATCTGCTTTGATTTCCTCTACCCCTGTCAACTCCCTCAGCTCTAATCACAGCAGTGACCCCATTAACTAGATCATCATCTTTTCACCAGTCCCACAGAGACTACTTTCAGTTGATGAAAAAGTTGGATGTTGGTACCTGGTGACTCAATATACTGTGGCATCTTTTAATTAAAACATGAGTCATTGTGACAGGCAGGTTGCAGCCACAGAATTATTTGCTATTTCCACCTAAATGCAAACAAAAACCCAAGGAAAAACACTTATTTCTTACCATAAAACACACAGGATTATTCTCCCTTATTCAAAATATGAGACTTTTTTGCTACTGCCTCTACTACTGCCTTTGCTACTGTACCTCCTGAGGAATTTAAAAAGCTGTCATTGACACAGAGGCAAGGAATCCTATGTGAAAGGGGAAAGCAGGGAATCCCTCTTGATTACAATGCACTGGTGGCTTGCTTAGAGCAGCATGAACTCTTGATACCTTAAAATTAACAGATTACTATTATATGGTGAGCTGTATATAAACCTCTTTGCCTACCTATTTCATATGTTTGGTTTTTTAACTGGATTCTTATTACAGAGATGTTGAAATCTTGGCCACATCTGAAAATAACAGTACACTTTACATTGGAATAGATGGAGACAGAATTTTAGCTGAAGAATAATATATAGATGCCACCACCAGAGAACAGGCTTACCTGTAGTATTACTATTTGCTGGCACTAGTTATGGGCTACTGTCAGCAGATATGTTTATTTGAGATAAACTGACAACAAAACTACCTGTTGTGAAGATGTAAGATGGCAGGGAATCTTGCCTTCCTATCAGTTTTCCCTGCTAAAACCTTCTCTCTGGTGTACTTCTATTCCTTTTTGAAAAACCTATTAAAAGAGCTATTGAGCATGCAGTGCTGGAACATTCAAGCACTATTTGTATTACATTTCAAAAACCACTAGCTGAGAAAAATAAATAAAAGCCACCAGCATGTGAGATGCAAGGATCTAGGAGCCATATGAGCCACAATTTTTCTACCTCTGCAACTTTTCATTGCCAAAGATGGTGTGGGCCAGATAGACCTACAACATCAAGGGTTTCAAACCAACTCTGGTTCAGAAAAGGCCAGCATAACAAGGCTCATTTATTTAATGCCCCCTGATGACAGAAGCAGTTACTATGGCCTCTGCATATTTCAGTATCAAAACTGAAATGCTGAATAGTGTTGGATGCTTTGAACACCCAAGGGCCAAGCAAGGTCAGTCAGTGATTTAAATACAAATGTTTTTGGCAAGCTAACAGCACTGGCTTGTTGAGGAGTTGAAAAGAATAATTAAAAAAAAAAAATCAAAAAAATCCTACCCTTATCAAATGGTTCAGACTAACTCATTTCTGACTGAGAAAGCATAGTCACTAATTATTGCAAGGGAATATGCATATTGCATCTTCCAAAAATTGATATGGCTGAATTTCACATCCTACTCATCATCTCCTAGCAGATTTCTCAGTATTTCCTTAAAAAACCCTTCCTGAGTTGCATCTGAATCATGTAAGTGTTGCGTTAAGACAACTGATTATTTAAAACCAGATTTAATTTAGCTACTCCTTTTTAAGGATGCCAAGGCAAGAATTGTTGTGACCACCCTTAACAAGGCAGACAGACAAAAAAAAGCTGTGGCTTAATGAGGTTACACAGTAATTCATATAGTCTGGAAATAATTTTGTTACCCTTCATATGGTAATGATCATCCTTTTTCCCCCCTCTACTTCTTTCCATCTGTTTAGGGAAGGGAAGTTTTTTAAATAAGTCCTTTGTGAGGGCTCCCTTTAACCTCTCTTGCCACACCACATGTTAGGACCCCTGACCCCTACCCTGTGTTTTCCAGCAGTGTGTCCTAACCCTTTAAGACAGTATTTTCAGAAACATTGTGTTTTTATTAATTTTGAACATTTTGAGGAATATTAGATAAGATTTTATTCATTTCACAGCCTACACATTTCAAACAAATTGCAGACTTAAGATGCTGGCATACTGTTTCTCCCACATCTTGCTGTTCTTTCCCACTAATCCGCTGGTGAATGGGTTACTTATTTTTCTGCTCCTGTAAGACAACTTACTTTATGAAATGTAAACATTGGAAAAATGTCTTCTGTTTCAGTGCTCCCTATAATTTTTTTTTCTTTGTATAGAATAAACATAGATTTGTTTTTAGAAAGACTCTTTAATCTAGGTAGATGATATTACTTTACCCATTTTTCTGATTCAGAAAGTAAAACCACTGAATTTTGGTGCACAAGTTTAATGAAGAAATTAAGACTTTTGAAGGGTAGCTACAATTTCTAATCATACAGAGTGCCAGGTTTGTACCAGAATTTGTAAATGTCTTCTCACAAGCTAATACACTACTCTTTTTTTATAAAATATAATTGGCTTTGGAAGACATTGTACCCCAATTAATTTTAAATTTAAATTACCCATTTACCACATGCCTTGGTGGAGGCAAGGTTTAACATCCAAGACCAAAGCTTGAACGCACCTGAAAACTCACAACTCAATATATAAATATCCCTTATATCCTGCATATCAGTAGCATCTTCCTTCATCTTTTTTTTTCTTCCTCTGCTCTTTCTTTTGTTACTAATTCCTTCTCCTTTTAAATGCTTTTTCATTTTCATACTTAATTAAGTACCCTATCTAACTTCAGTATTGAGCACAGTAGTGGTACCATATTATATAATTACATCTTGCTGGTTTTGGTATTTTTTCATTCTTTTTTAATACAGAGAGGATTCTTTTATTCATCTTACACCTTTCTTTAATATGCTTAAATTGCATGTGTCTTAGTTTATAATTTCAAAGCTACAAAGACAATGACCTACCAATTCTAGCAGGTGACCCTGTTTCCAGAGTTCTGAAAAGGTGATACAACAGGAGAAGTGACATGCTGAGATAAAGATGTCTACTGAGAGCATGTCATAAAATTCAAGCCAGATTCCCTGTGATATAATCCAAAGCCCTTCACTGGTCCCAGAAGTGACTTTTAAGAAAGATTAAAATATGTATTGTAAGACTTTACCAGTCCCTTGGGAAAGCTTTGACGCTGCCATCTTTTCCAGTATATGTACTCAAACAAAAGCTACTTAAAGTGCATGTATGTGAACCACTTGTGCTGCATGTGGAAACAGCAGCATGTATGACTGAGAACTTGAGAAGTCACCTCAGGTCCTGGCACTGCAGGAATAAAAAGTGTATCCAGACAACCCAGAAAAAGAAGCCTGGTTGAAAATGGATCTCTATGAACACAACATACATGAGTTGCAGAAATCTGTATGAATATTCTCCTCCAGGAGGCTTTTCAGGCATTTGACTTTCTGTACTTTGGCTCCTCTCTCACTTCTTGGAATTTTCACACAAAAGTTGACAGCACATTAAAAATGAACACAGCTTTATTTTCTAGATTCAGATCTTATTAAATGTGCATATTAAATGTCGGCAGAATGTTTAAAAAAATATTGCGATATTAGTGTATCATATATATCAGCAACATACTTAGCAGACAAAAATGCTAGTCAGATTACATGACAGTATGAGTCAAACAAGTGGTACATGTAGAATAGTCATCTATTTTCACTCCATTCTGTTGCCTCAAACTGACAGCATTAAATAAAAAAGAAAAAGCATTGTAAAAAACATTCTAGAAAAATAGGATAGTGTCTCATAGTAGCACACTTCTTTTTCAGTCCTTTGCTTAGAACATGCCCCACTAAACCTTCCCACAGTAAAAAACCTAAATTTTAATTGAAAAAGAAATAAAAATCCCTGACTGTATTACACCTGAAAGGTCAAATTTGTTTTATGTAACTAATTGTAATGAGGCAGTCTATTGCTGCTTAAATTACAGTAATTGCAAGACAAAACTTTATTCACTTTGGTTAAAGGAGACTTCTAGATACTAAATCACACCAACAATCAGGAAGAATCAGCACATCTCCAAACTGATCAGGCCTTCCTTACTTTCATCACTTTTCAAGAACACTTCAGGAAACTTATGTGAACCGTTATAAACCCAACCATACTGATACCTTTAGTCAAAATACTGCTTAATGGCAAGTAAAGGCAAACTATTATGAAAAAAGGCATCAAGATAATTTTTTTATGTGACATTAGCTTTTAGTATGAGAACTCTTTTCAACAGTTTCTGTATACAAAGAAGTAATGCTATGAAGTGTAATGACTTATTTTTAAAATACATACATATTTCTTTCTAAATAAGCTGATCCCAGGGTTTTTTCCACTTTCTAATTATGATACAACATATACAAAACATCTGTTTGTACTGCAAGTGATCTTAAAAAATAAGTTTGTAAGAAGAACAAAATAGCAGTCAAAACATCAATTCAAATTTAGGGTCTGCATATCATTGCTGTATCCCAAACAAATGTATTTCTTTATTTTCCTCCATCTTACTTCTAAATAGCATTGCTCATTCACAACACACCTATTTTGCTGATATCTTTTCAAGAGTAGTATATAAGGACACTTTATTACTTGAAGAAACTAATCTTCCATAAGCAGAAATAGTCCATCTAACACTAAGTTTCCAAATCTGTTTTCAGCTTCAGTCAGGTTGTACATTTCCTACAGAAATATATCCTTTTGTATTTCATCACCTTTCTGTTTGAAGCATCTGTTTGCATTGCAAACAGTAACAAACCCACAACAGCTAAATTAGGCAGTTTAATTAACAGTATATGTGCAAGACGCAGCACAGTGCTTTCATGGTGCAAATTGTGGTGTTCGATATGTGATTACGACTGATGGCTAATACTTTTCTTTGGCTTACACATTAAGCAGCAGAGCTAATTTATTTACACATGCATTCCTCAAACAGATCTATTACTTCAAATACATCTGAATATTCAAGAACATGATCATGAACATAAATTGCCAACATGCTTGATTGATCAAGCAACCTTAGAGAATGAAGGTAGCTTACAGTAATGAGAAATAATTATCAGAATCGACTCCTTGACTGGCAGCCAAACTGTGTGATGTGTGCTCGAGGTAGGCACTTAGCATTAATCCTTTTGCTAATAACAACAGCTCCACTCAGGACATTGATTTAAAACTGTTACAACATTAAGGTTACTTGCCAAGTACTCCAAGACACAGGCAAGGTTTGCTAAAACAAAACACCTTAAGTTGTGGTACTAGTAAACAGCACATAATACAGCTGATATGGAATACAAATCTCAATTTTCATGTTTATACTTGCAAAGTATAACTTTCAAAGCGCAAATAGAGCAAAATTTTCTAATCTTGTCTACCTTGTATATTCAGCATGAGAGAACTCAATAATCTGGTGTTAAAACAATCTGCAATCTAGGCACAAACTGCTCTCCAACAGTCCACATAGAACTGAAACAGAAGTGTGCCAAGGCAGGCTTGGTTTGGTAACACTGAACAGCTCTGTCTGCAGGTTCACAGTATCCTGATGCCTGCAAGCATTTTCTGGAAAAGGGCACTGGCCTGCAGAGATAATTTTCACACCTCTTGCAAATGCAAAGAAACAAGGCACTAAGCATGGAAGCGTTGATACATTTTAAATATACATCAAAATTATAAAAATGCCTACTTGCTTCAAAATAGGAAATGAGGGCACATTCTTAAACAGCTGGAAGCTACTTTGCACAAATAGTTATTTATATATTTATAAACCCAGTAACTTTGCAGAAAAGCCATCTAACAAAAAGGAAAAGAAAAATCCTTCCTACAGATTCAAAAGGAAAAAAAAACCACAACAGAATAACCCCCAAGCCACAGGATATTATGTATAAGGACAATAATAGCATAAACATAGATTATTATTTGGCATGCTTAAAATCTTTATGATAAAAATCCAAGACCAAACCATTCAGCTAAATCACCACTGGTATGGTGGTCCAGCTCCCAGTCGACTGCCATGGAGTGCAGGCACATTCCATAGTATGCATTGAGGACAGACACACAGTTTTAGCCCTTTGCATTCATTGAGAATCCAAACAAATAAATAAATAAACAAACAAGAAGATTTGGCCAAAAACAATGTCAAACATAATCTTCCAATGGCAGTTTTTGAGAATGAGAAATTAAATAACTGTTATTCTCCAAATTGCATACATCTTTTCAAAACCCACTGCATTTAGGTGATTCCACAATAACTGCATTTAGAGAGTAAACTCTTCCACAAATTGTATCTTTAAGAAAATAAATTATGGCTTTTTTCTCCCCTTCAACTAGTTTGTATCAACTGAATTTTGTGCCTACAAGTAATTACAAGTGGAATTAAGCCAATATATCTTTAAAAATTAATTCCTTCTGCAAAATGTATAGAAGTTCAAACCAATGTTTCATAAGACATAGTTAATATAAAAAAACAGTCCTAAACCTTAACCGTTGTATCAGGAGTGTTCTATTCAAATTGCTACATAATAAAAATAATAATTCTCAGCATATTCCACAGCAGTGGTCCTCTGTGGTATCCTTTTCAGTCAGCTGGGATACAGTCTGGAATGTTGCAATTAGCAACACGGAGAGGGCTTGGTGGTTAATGACCTTATCATGCCCTGTGAGCCCTTTGAGGTTAACAGTCCCTATACCAGGAGTCAAAATTCTAGGATTACAAGATTACATTTACTGTTCAAAGTCACGGGAAAATAAAAACCAGTGCTGAAATCATACATTTAAGCAGATTTCCTAAACCTTGAAAGCTCAGTAAAACCTTTAAAGAAAACCCTAAAATCTTTGGATTGAAAGAGAAAGGTTGAACTCTCCTACAACCTTCAACATACTGAGCAAACCACAGATAAAAAAAGCTAAAACAAGCTAAATCCCAAACAATTGGATTTTTGGCTACATTGCTCTGGATAGTTCCATTCTCCCTTCTGTGGCGATGAACTCTTTTTCTGTGGCTTGTTTATCACCTTGGCACAGTCTCTCCTTCAGTTTTTCAAGTTCATACTCATGTAGGATTTTTTGTGTTAAATACTTTTCACGTTTTATTTTGGCTTTCACATCTGCAGGAACATCAGGGATCATCCATGCTACGAAGAATTTGACGATGAATACCACATGCTAAAAAGAAAAAAAAAAGTAACAACTCATTACTAAATGAAACACGTCTTGTTTTATCTGTCACCAAATAGGTCACTTTTTGTTCACAATAGAATACATTTAATTTGGATATCCTGGAACAATACTTAGTACTTAGTATCTAAGATGTACATGAAGATTAAAACATATCTTCTTATGCAGAAATTTTAATTCCAAACCATTAATGACTCAGCAAACCCAAGAGGAAAGTGTCAGGGCCTGAATCTCAACCATCACTTTTTAACTTCTCTGTGTGGTTTGTTAAAAAGTTCACACAGCTGTGCTGAAAACACTTAGCTATTGAGAGATGATGAAACTCAGCAGGAAAAGTGATGAGATGAGCACCTGAACTACTCCCTTTTCCCTTCATAACTTGTAAAGCAGTGGCTTAACACTGAAGTGCCAGTAATCCAAACTATTGATTTAGCTGATTTTAACCAATATACATCACTGCAAAATGCTGTCTGAATTTTGAACACAGTCATCTCACATACAGCTCTTTAATGAAAGCAAAAAGAGTAGAAGTGCTAGTCCTGATGGCTTTAATCTCTTACACTTGCTTAAAGACCTTTTTTATTTTGCTGATTATTTTGATCAACATTTGCAGTCTTGCTTAGCCATTTTCACTGTTCCTACTCTGAGATCAGCTCACTGAATTTAAAAGGCCCAGTAACAGTAATTATTTAGGACATGAGTACTTGGTATTACCTAGGGAACAAATTATTTTATACTCCTAGCAATTCTATTTTCTGTATATATATATATTTATATATATATATTTAGTAATTATCTAGAGAATCACAAGGTACCAATGTCAGAAGGAAATTTTGTAGGGAACATACCTCCATAATAATTATAAAGGCCAGTTTTGCAGCAAGAATGTGCCAGAACTGCATAGTGTGTAAGTATTTTCTCTCATGATCTGGAGGATATCGATAGTCTCTGTACCTGTTGGAATGACAGACATGCAAAGGTGAAATGTCAGTCAGCCTGGGACAGACTACAAGCTTAGTGACACTTTACAAGCAAGTACAGCTGTCACTTAAGGAACCTTTCCTTGTTTTAAATGGTCTGTTTCCTTTTGCAAAAAAACGACCCTCAGCTTGTTTCTATCTTTGTGTTTCCTTAAACACCCTCACACACACAGCAACAGAGCAGAGATGAGGATGTGTGACATGAAATATGGTACACAGGTTACTTGTTTTTCAGGCAACGATCAAATAATACAGGATAGGGTGATGGGATATATCACAGGGTAATGGACACCTATTGAATAAATGTGACAGACATTAGCAGATTATGGACTGGATAGATGCAGGGTCTCATGAAAGAACAGACTTGAGTGCATGTTCTACACCACCAAACAAATGCAGCTTTTTCTGAAAGTGCTGGGGTGGTTGGTTTAGGGGTTTTTTTGCTTGCTTTGAGATTTTTTTCATCCAATCAATACTTTTATTTTACCATTTCTAAACTTCTTTTGAAATTATTCTAGAATCTCCAATGCTTTTGCTAGCAAGAAAGGACTATTTTTTAAACAAAAGCAGAA